ATAAGATTTCAAAAGACACAGGTAACTATCATTTGATTAAGATTCAAGCCTGTTGCTTGCAAGAATCAAACAATATTTTAGTATCTCTTTATTAACAATGCAAATGTGCTTAGTGGAAACTGAAAAGCCAACTGGACCATGAGTCAAAAAAACTGGGTTCTAGATTCAGTTCTATCATATACTAACTAGAAAAGCTGAAGTGTGACACTTCAGCTCTTTGAAAGTCACTATACTTCCCATTTTACATATGAAGCAAGTTTACCTTAGCATTTACAGATTAAATTTTTGTTTCAACTATTTATGAGCAACTCCAAATGTCTGGAATCAAAATTTATAATTAACCTACACACAAATTTGGATTGAGTACTGTCAGGCTGGTGTGCAGGAACAGGTCTCTCAGCTGAATGATCTATCTCAGGGATCAGCAAACTTCTTCTATAAAGAGCCAGATCATAAGCTTTGCAGGCCATATCGTCTATCCCAACCAACTACTGTCTATACTGCTATAGTGCAAAAACTCCCAGAGACAATACAATTGAATGAGTGGAGTGGTGTCCCAATAAAACTTTATTTCTGGACACTGAACTTGAATTTCATATGATTTCATATGTCATGGGTTTTTTCCAACCATTTAAAATGTAAAAACCATTCTTAGCTCAAAGGTTGTACAAAAATAGGTAGTGGAACTTGATTTTTGACAAAGGTACAAAAGTAATTCGATGGAGGAAGGATGGTCTTTTCAACAAAAGGTGCTGGAGCAGTTGGATATCACAGGCAAAAAAAAAAAAAAAAAAAACCTCAACCTAAACCACACACATTATACAAAATTAACTCAAATGGATCAGAGATTCAAATGTAAAAGTTAAAGTTAAATAAAACTTTTGGGAAAACAACAGGAGAAAATCTATGGGACCTAGGTCTTGGGACCTCAGACATGACACCAAAAGCATAACCTATAAAAGAAAATCAACAAATTAGACTTTAACAAAATTTAAAATGTTTGCTCTCTGAAAGACCCTGTTAAGAGGATGGAAAGACAAACAACAGAGTGGGAGAAAATATTTGCAAACCATTATTCTGATAAAGAATATACATATCTGTAATATATCAAGAATTCTCAAAACTCAATAGTAAAAAACCAAACAATTCAATTAGAAAATGGGCAAAAAACTAAAGAGACATTTTAGTGATGAGACTATATGGACAGCAAATGATGGCATGAAAAGATGTTAAGTATCACTAGCCATTGGGAAGATGCAACTTAAGTCCACGATGAGGTATCATTACACATTATTAAAACAGATAAAATAAAAATAGTAACAATACCAGACACTGGCAAGGATGTGGAGAAAGTGGATCTCTCATATATTGCTGGTGGGAATGTAAAGTGGTACAGATAATCCAGAAAATAGTCTGGCGATATCTTCCAAAAACAAAAAAAAACAAAAACACAAACAAAACATATACTTAACCACATGACCCAGCAATTGCATTCACAGAAACATGAAAATTTACATCCACACAAGAACCTGAACATGAATGTTCACAGAAGCTTTATTCATAATGGCCAAATTGGAAACAACCAAAATGTCCTTCAACAGGTGACTAAACTGTGGTATATCCATACCATAGAACACTACTCAGTAATGAAAAAAATGAGCTATTGATACATACAACTTGAATAGATCTCAAGGACATGCTGAGTGGGAAAAAAATCTCAATAGATCACATACCATATATATTCCATTTATGTAACACCCTCAGAATGACTAAATTATGGGTTGGAGAACAAATTAGTGGTTTCTAGGGGTTGGGGAAGGTGGGGAGACACAGGAAGTTCTAAGATTACAAAGAGATAGCACAAGGGGGATCTTTGTGGTGATGGAATAGTTGTGTACCTTGATTGCAGTGGTAGTTAAACTAATCTACAGGTGTTAAAATGGCACAAAATTATACACACACCATTTTACCAATGTTAATTTGTTAATTTTCTGGTGTTGATATTATACAATAGTTATGTAAAATGTAACCTTCGGAGGAAATTAGTGAAGAGTAAAGACCTCCCTGTACTATTTTTGCCATTTCCTGTGAATATATAATTATCTCAAAATAAAAAGTTAAAAGAGTTTCTGAAAACCTGCAGATAAGGGAAGGGAAAACATAGTTCTGTAAATAACAAGGGTCTAGCCACTCTCCTTATTAATCTTAAGAGTTGTTTCAAGGATCAAGCATGATAAAATAACAAAAAGCAGTTTTAACAGTACTTAATAACAGCCAGACACTTAAGTGCTTTCCACATATTGTCTCACTTAAGCCATAAACAATCTTATAAAAGAAATACCACAACCCCATTTTACAGACAGGAAAACTGGAACTGAGGGAGCTTAAAGTAATTTGTCCATGGTCACACAGTAAGTGGCAGAGCCACGATTTAAACTCAGATTGACTCCAGAGGCATGCCTCCAGCACATCACTATAACGAGTATAAAGATATGGAAAAACACAAGGTATCCATCAAAGTGTAGTGCAAAAGCGTGGATTAAACAAAGGTTAAATCAGTTTATTTTCTGTAAGATTCTCAGAACTTTTAAAATGCCAGTGTGTGTCATATAGCTAGGAGACTATTGTTTTTTCCCCAACATATTTGGCAAGGGAATCTTTCCCTCCAGAATATATAATCCAACAGTCTCTCATTCAAAAGTCAAAATGTTTACACTGGAGTTATTGTGGTGATCATTTTGCAATATATACAAATAATGAATCATTATAATATTAAAAATAATATTATGTGTCAATTATATCTCAATTTTTTAAAAGTTAAAATGTTTAAATGACCTAATCTTAACCCACTTTCCTCCTTCACATACTAGCAAACCACAAATGTTTGGACTGCACTGTCCACTGTGGTAGCCAAGAGCCAAAACGACTATTTAATTATAAATTAATGAGAAATAAAATTAAAAATTCAGTTTCTCAGTCACACTAGCCACATTTCAAGTCTTCAAGATTTGTTCAAGGGCCACATATGACTAATGGCTACCATACTGGACAACACATTTATAGAAAACATTTTCATCATCATAGAAAAGTTGTGTCAGGCAGCACTGGGTTAAAAGTTTGTTTTTGTTTGTTTTTTAAAGACATGGCCTCTGCAATTTTCAGAGACGCACACTGTGTTATGAACTATTATACATGTATTTGCTGCTATCACCCCATAAAAGGGAGCTAGGTCAGAAATTTTTAATAGGACTGGCTACTGTCACTCTGATGCCAAGGCACAGGGAAAAGATAAGCAAAAAAGTGGAAAACATGAATAGCAAACAGAGAAAGCAACATCATGCAGCTGGCGGATGAAGCTTGAACTTGGATTCAGGAGACCTGGGTTCTACTCCCTATTAGATCAATGATTCTTTTTTTTTTTTTTTTTTTGGTACCTGTTACTAATTAACTGTGACTAGACAAGTCTCTTCACTACTTTAGGCCTCAGTTTTTACTCTTCACACAATACAAATTTGACTTAGATGATCTCTAAGATTCCCTCTAGCTCTGTACAGTTGAAACACACAAAAACACATACACACATGAAATGAGAAGGTGAGAAATAAAGGCACAAATAAAAGAGAGCAAGATCATTGCGTATTAGTGGTGGAAATTGGCATTACTGTCAGTTTGGCACAAATTCTACTCCTGAGGATAAGACTTGGATACCACCAAAGGAAGAAAGATTTAGTTCAATTCAATAAAAACTTACTGAGCAATTATTTGCAACAAACTGCACTATCTGGAAGTAGCACACCATGCAACAAACACTATCTGGAAGTAGCACACCACACACACACACACACACACACACACACAAATTAATTAGCCCTAGGTTAAGACCAAATGTGTGGAAGAAATCCAAGACTCACCAAACTTGAGATTGAAAGACTAGTTCATTAACACGTAATAACTGCCCCAGTACTAAGAAACATAGAAGTATTTTAAACTCTTCTTGAGGAGACAACTCTAACAAATTATATAAAATCATATACAAAGTACAAACACATGGCATAATCAAAATTCTTATCCCTCCCCCCACCATACCCTTCTTCTAAAGAGAAAGTAAATAAATGCTACAGGTACTTGGGAATATGAAAACAGCAATTCTGGTCAACCTAACTTCTCTAGAACCCACACTCAGATAGTCCTACATCTTCTGGGCTAAATATTCTTGACTTTAGTGAGTTTATTGGAAATAAATTTATTTATTGGAATAAATAAATTCTCAATCTGTTGCACCGGGCAGATGAAAAAGCAACTGGAATTCTTGTCTCTGCTATCTCCTACTGAACTTGTCAGAAGCTTGGTTGGTCCTATTTTCTAGGATCAAAGGGGAGAGAAAACCTTCCCCATCCTTTTTCTGAAAATTAAGATTTCATGTGAAAATTAAAAATGAGTTTTACTTCCACATAAAAAAGAACCAAGATAAACTGCGTTTGATATCTCACCTTGAAGAAACTAAGGCAACCAGTGAGTCGAGCCTAATCTCGGTACAAATTCAAACTCCTTAAAGCCCCAAACCATACTCGTGAATATTGGGGAGCAGAGGAGAGTGAATATTCAAGCTTTCCATCAAAGAAAACAAGGAAAAAAGGGATTTCAGCGACAAGCCTTTACTTTAGACAGGCAGTTTTCAATACCCCACCTACTAATCCCACGCCAAGGACCGCGCGGCGCGGAAACCCTGGCGAATTTGAAAACAAACGTTGGTAAAGGCTCGGGGAGGGGAACTGGTAAGGGGGTTAGTAACTGACAGCTCGGCCTCTAAGCGAGAAGCTTCAAGTAGGTCAGACGGTGTCAACGGTTTGAAATCCAGGATCCACCCCAGTGGGCTTAGGGGAGTAGAGCAGCAGGAGGTAAGCAGGGAGCTGGAGTCTTTCAGGGCTAAAGGGGCGGGATATCGCAACAGAGAGAGACCTAGATAGAGCCCAAGCTCGGGGCAGTTCAGCTGCTCTCACCTCTCTTGGGGGCCTTGATTAGAGGCACCCCTCCAGTCCTCTCGCCGTTCTCCTGCTTGTCCTTGTGCTTGAGCTCTCCCGGAACGCAGGAGCCGGGGTCACCATCAGAGCCGCGGTGGTGATGGTGCTTGTGCCGCTCCTTGTGGCCCTTATGCTTGGGCCCGGCCGCGCTCACCGTCAGGGGCGAGAAGGTGAAGAGGGCCGAAGTGCCCGGGGCCGGGAGCGGGGCAGCGACAGCGGGCCCGGCGGGTGCCAGCGAAGGTGGCGGCGGAGGCGGCAGGAGCAGAGGCTCAACAGGGCCTGGGACGGCTGGGGCTGCATTCGTAGGCGGCAGCGGCCCGGGATGTTGGCGGCTGCGACG